TTTTTGGTGGAACCAGGGATTGAACTCAGGCCCTTGCACTTGGCCAGGGAAGCCCTTAGTCCACTGAGCCATCTCCCCGGCCCCAGGGTTTTTTTCTTTTTCTTTTTTTGGTGCCAGTAATGATATTCTAATTGACTAGCAAGAATTTACTGTGGGTAGGGCATAACAAATAGGGCACTGTTAGGATAATACGAAGAAGTGAGATATGCGCTTAATTGAAGAGCACTTACCAGTAGTTGGCGAGTGGGACCATCCAAGAATGATCTCACAGATGCAGTGGCAAGTGCAAGGTACCAGCAGTGGTGTGAGATTAAATGCACATGTGCTGAAGAGGTACAAAAGAACCATGAGCCATTCTCAAATGAGTTAGGTGCAGTTCAACCCAATTTATCAAAGGTATTTATTTTAAGCACTAAAAGCTAGATACTAAATACAAAAGCTGCTTGTGTCAACAGTGGCCCAGGATATCCCCAAGGAGAGTGAGTGCTGGCCAAAGGGCTGGAACTTTTAACTCTTCTGCATCCTTGATCTAGACATCAATTAGGTGTTTATCTTCAGCTGCTGGGTCCTTTAATCTCTGCTCTTGGTAGAAACCTCCAGTTTAACTGCTCCACGATCCTAACTTTGGGGCCGACCTGGCCAGGATCACGGCCAAGCCCTCCCGCCCTGCCTTGCTCCACTCAAGTCTTCTAGGAGGTTAAATTCTCCCGCCTGCTCTCCATTTTCTAGTCTTTTCTGATGGCTCTTCTGGCCTAATATTCTTCACCAACCTCTTCTTCCTAGGCCCTTTTATTATTATGTAAATATATCCATTCCTTTCCGGGCTCTCGCTTCACTAAAAATATTCCTTCCTTTCTCCCTCCCCCAGCTCTTGGCGCAAGCAAGCATCTGGAATCCAGAGGTCATTTGAGCTAAGTGGGGTTCCACGCTTCTCTGACTCTGGTAAATCACCCTCACATTCAAGAAGTAGAAAACCACTCCCTCCGACCACCCACTTTCTAAAACCCACAAACAGTGGGGCAAGGCGGTGGGCTCTCGCCACAGAGCTCAACTGGGAATCCTTTGGGGCTACAGTTTTCGGAGCAGGGCTCTGCCTCTTCCTGCAACACGAATAACTAACTTACTTGCTGTTCCCCTGCGGCAAGGACAAAGTCTCCTCTACCAGACAGGAAACTGCCTCCTGACGATCGCCCCATCGCCACTCTTTCGTTCCTAATTTAAATCCCCATTCCCACCCCTTTGGATATAAGTAGAGCTCTTACAACGCTAAGTTTCTTGTGCAAAGTAGTCCTGCACAACTTTTTGAGTTGATACGAGAAGCATAAACGTCCTTTGATCAATTAGGCAAGGAAGGGGTTAAATGTCGGCAACCTGATGGATTCTAGAGGTTTCCTTCCATGACTCCAAAAATCAACTGGACGGGAAGAGATATTTTGCCCAAGATAATGATGAAAACCGTTAACTTCAACTGTTGGGCTTTGCCCTACACAAGAATGGCTACGCACGCCTACAAAGGGTGCCACTCACCTAACTAAATATGGTTGGCCCGAGGTTTTACGATGGGTGGTGCTTCCTGCCCAATTCCAAAATGGCACTGACTAGCTTCACCATAAGGCGAAAACACCCAGAACCCTCTCTGGCCCGTAACGTCATGTGACGCGAGCCCTAGCCGGAAGTGAAGGAAAAAGCGCTTCAGCCCGCGGCGCCTGCGCAGAAAGCTCTAGACGCTGAGAGGCAGGAGGCACTTGGGATCGTCCGCAGGGTTGGGACTGCTACAGAGGCCGCCACGGAGCCCGCCGGAGCCACCGTTCCTCCTGCTGCTGCCGGCGCCCGCATCGGAACCGTCGGGCAGCAGCCGCCGGCAATGCCGCGAAGGAAGGTGAGAAACGGGAGAAGAGGGATGGCGGGTTTCTAAGGACAGTCGACAGAGCAAAGTGACGCAGTTGGGCACGCTTCACCGTGGTCGGGCTCCAGCTTCCCGCTCCCCCAGACTTAGCTCAGCTACACTCTATCGGCTTCTGCCGAACCCCACAGAAAAATGTGGGCCCGACCCTGGCCTCGGCCTATGCTTGCAACTATTCCCGCCCTCTGCTTGCCTGGGTCGGAGGCGTTCTTATTGTTAATTGGCCGATGAAACATCTCGACGCGTATGGATTGGCTGGTGACGCCGCCTGTTTGGCGCAACGGTTACCACCCCTCGTGCGGGGGCGGTGTCTGGGCCCGGCCCCAGCGCTCTGCGATTAGCTGTGGAGAACGATCCCTCCTGTTCTGATTGGCCAGGCTTGGCAGTCTGTCCCGTGGGGGCGCGGTTTAGCAGGCCCCTGATTGGAAGGCCGGAGTCCCCACCCTTCCGTTTGAGAACGCTGATAGGCGCAGAGGCGGGGTTTGTTGTGCCACCTTCCTTTCAGGGTGGGGACACAACAAAGCAAAGAAGTGGGTGGTGGGGACCCACCGCCCACTCCCGAGGGATTCCACCCAGTGCTGTTGTGCCTGAACCATCATCTTCCATTATTTATTTGGTTTGGCAGTGTCTAGAAAATACGCAGTTTTTAAAATTAAAAGCCTTGTTAGGTTTAAATGGTAACGAAAGGAACACAGTCATCTGTTTCTTGCAGCTGAGCACATGGAAGTCTAGTGGGTGCCCCAGGCTACTCGTTGGGCAATGCAAGAGCCAGAGCTGTAGAACAATTGTAATTCAGTGTATGTGTAGTTCAGAGGTCAGTAATTCACGTATGTGCGTGGATGAAGTGGCTTTCATCCCAACGATTCGTTATGACTGTGGTTTCTGTTCGTTTTTGGAAATATTACTTATCAAATATCTCTGGATTACTTATCAAATATAAAGCTGGTGGTATTGTGCTCACTGCTGCAAAAGGCTTTCCCTTTACAGAAGCTTTCCAACTTAAATACACTTTTTTTTTTTTTTTTTTTTTTTTTAGAGGAGGGTCTACAGGGTGTTCAGGGTCTCACTACTAGGTCAGATTTGTAGTGATCCTCCTGTTTACAGCCTCCCAAGAGCTGGGATTACAGGGGCGCGTAACCATGCCCAGTCTCCGTGTGCCTCAGGGGTGGGGCTGGCAAGGCAGGCCCGGAACGAACCCCTGGCCCCTGCACTTTAATCTGCTGAGCTATTTGGCCAGCCCTATGCTTGGCTTGCTAGGCAAGCACTTCTACCGAGTTATCTACCCAGCCCCTTTTTCTGACATTTCCAAACACAAGGCATCGGGCTGGTGAGATGGCTTAGTGGTCTAAAGCACCTATTTAGAACAAGCTTAGCAAAGCACAGGGACCGCGGTTCAATCCCCCAGCACCACATGCCAGCCAGCCAGCCGCGCCCCCTGGTGGGCTGAACTGGACACACACACACACACACACATACACACACACACATAAATAAATAAAATAAATAAGTTAAAAAAACAAAACAAAACAAACACAAGGCATCCTCAAAAATCTCGGTTTTTAATAACTTGTTTGGTGCCAGACCTGTCCCAGGCTATCCTGAGCTCACTTACAGTTTATATGTGTGTCTCGTTTAGTATGACTGTTTATATATTTTGCTGCAAAAATATTGATGTGTCTGATTGTGGAGCATTATTTGTAGGATGTATGTGAAGTACCGCTTTTTAGAAGTTTACAACATTTAGGAATTTCAGGAATGTGCTGTACCATGAGCTACATTCCCAGCAGACATAAATTCCAAACACAAAGTCCTAAGTGGCTTACTGTGTGAATAAAGAGCCAAGGCCTAGGGCCCGGGCGTACGGCTGCATGACGGATGGTCTGCTTATGGACGGAAGCTCCGTAGTGCTTTTAGTACTGTTTGCTTTCTTTTCCAGTTTGGTGAAAGACATAGTCTAGTGCTGAATTGATCAAATAGTTTCCATGGCTTTATGGCTGTTCACTCTAATAATTAACAAGTAACTAGTAACTGAAATATGAACTTGTAAAAACTTATTTTTGAGTACCTGTGAGTCTGGAGTACAAGTTATCTTTTTAGTACTTCTGGCCTTTGTATGGAAAAATATCAAGGATTGCTGAGATAAGAATTTTTATGTTGGACCAGCCAGATAGCTCAGGAGACTAAAGCGCCTGCTTAAGCAGATGCAGGAACCAGGGGTTTGATCCCCAACATGCCATGTGGGCCCCGCCCCCGCCTCGTGGCCTGTTGAGAGGCCAACTGAGACTGGATATGGT